GTTGGGTTACTCTGTTCGTGCAGCTGGGGCTCCTGAGATGCTGCAACAAGAGCAGCAATTTGTGTCACTGTGTCCTGCCCCATGCCCATCAGCTGTGGAGCAGCAAAGTTCCATCAGGAGGCACAAATTCACCCTTTGATGTTGCTTTTGCTGCTCCTCAGTTCAGAGCTGCTGCTGCTGCCAGAGCATTAAATGTTCCCTGAGTGGTGACTGTCTTCTGCTAATGCAGAATTCTTTTTGTGAGTTAGCTTAATTTTGTTCTTGGTGTGTTTTCTGTCTTGTTCTGGATGCAAACAAAGGTGCTTAGTCCAATTCTTTCATTCTTTTAATACCAGGACTGGGAAACTGCCCTGGATCGCCTCCTGAATCAGACAGGATCATCTAAAAACAGTAGTTACTTCCACCACTCTGCCTGGGAAAATCTTCCATGTTCTAAGGCACCTGAAAGCCAGACTAGCCTCCAGTCAGGCTACACTTTACATTAAAACTTCAGCAGGCTGTTTTATTTATTCTCCCATCCTTCATCACACACCACTTTTCCCTGTTTTCTGGCTCATCAAAGCCATAAGAGAACATTCTGTCACCAGACCTATTGGGACAGAAAGTCTAATTGTATTCAGTAAATTCACCTCAAAGTGAACAACTGTCTCCTTGCAGGTTGTCTTTGATTCCTCGTTTCAGTCTCTTCCTTTTCCCATAGGTGATGGTGGTTGAGACTACTCAAAAATAAAAGTTTTATCCAGGCATGAGAGAAAACAAATATCTCCCATCACTCAACAGCAACTGACCCATCTGTCCAAGAAGTGGCACTGACAGCTGTGTGGTGGCATGGGGAGAGATTAATGTGCACTAGCAGGAAAACCTTGGGGTTTCCAGAGAACTCTCTTGGGGTTTGAATGAATCTTCTGGTTGGGAAATACCAGGATAAAAGCATCCAGCACTTGTCAGCATGGACAGTGGGAGATGTGGGTGTATTCAGACAGAGCTGAGGTGGTCAGTGATTGCATCTTCAGGTGAATGTTCAGCTTTTCCTGCCTTTTGATGAATCAGGGTGTCTTTTATGAGGCAAAATTAATGCAAGTGCTTCTCTATTTACAGTGGCCCCATTGCTCAGGAAATGAAATGTCATAAGGGGAAAAAAAGCTAATTAGTTTGGTGCCAAAAATGGTTCTCCAAGGTCTCAGAAACCCTGTGGTTAACATAAACATAGACAGAGGCAATTACAAGCAAACACACATACAAAAACCCACCTTTCCCTCTAAAAGCATGGTCTGCAACATCTCTCTTTGGCTGTTCACAGCTGTGGCGACCCAGAAGTAAGGGAATTTTCATACCAATCATGACACAAACTGAAGACAGAGGAAGAAGAGCAGCCAACCCAAGCTGAAAGTGAGGACAGCAGGGTAATATAGGGTATGTAATATAGTCCCCAAGATACCAGCTAAGGGATTTTGTGATTTACTCTCAGAACTACATCCTTTTTTTGAGCAATTTGAAGCAAATGCTGCCCCGTTGTGTTTTCTTCACACTGAAATACTCAATCAGGTGGTTGGGTGGACATGTTGATACTCCTTAGGCCAGGGCAGAATAGTTCTAATTTTAAAAGAGCTATCTCAAGTCTTCATCTTGCAATGGCTGAAAAAGTGAACATCTTCTCAGGTTTTCTAGTGAGTTCCATGAAATCCACCAGCAGGAAATGTTCAAGAAGAGGATGAGAACAAGAGAAGATGGGAGGAGTGGAACAGCATCCCAGACTCATGTATTTGTACCAGACTGTGCACTCTTTGCTCTGCATTTCTGCCCTTAACCTTGAGCATTTACTCAGAATAGACCCAGAAATGAAAGATGAATAGTGTTTTGTAAAAACCAAAGCTTGGCCTCCTTGTCTGTCTCTGTGGCAACTGTGTCAAGAAACAACTGTGTTGATGCCACACTGTGAAAATAGTGAGGGAGGCAGAGATGCTCTGGCAAGGTCAGGCAGAAAGCCCAGAGTCCCACCCAGCATCCTGACTAGCAAAAGTCACATCAACTGCAGCAGTTTGTGCATAACCTGCCCTATAGGAATATCTCCCACAGAGTCCTGGTATATTAGTGGTTTTTGGGGTTTTTTTCAAAAAAGCAGCTTGAAGCATCTCTTCTCCACTGTCTTTAACAGGTATTTTCGTGACTTTAGGTGCTCCGTCTGTTCAAGCAATAACACAATCCACTCTGAATGCAAGGCTGACATCCTGCAGTAATGAGTTTCACAGGCTGATTACTTGTTGCATGATAAAAATAAGTTGCCAGCAGCTGACTCTGAGAAGCAATGGGGAAAAAAAAATAGCAAAAAAGAAAAAGTAGCTATTTTTTTTTTCTCAGAAAAGAGAGAAGGGCAGTGAAGAAATATGGTTCACAGTCCTGCTGAGAGACTTACCCAGGAGGGAGAAAGGCATGGAAGTTTGTTAACTGACCTGGTGGGGCAGAGCATGCTCATGAAGGTTGCAACTTTGAATGTTAAGAATTCTCCAAAGGCCTTCAAAGAAGGGTCTTGGGGAGTTGGTATTGTTGCTGTTGTACAAAAGATCTTTACCTAACTTCTAAGCCCTGCCTACAGGAACCATGGACTTCAGTCACTTATGTCGACCTCTGGAGTAGTGTTATGATGTCATCAGTGTTACAATTTTACACAAAATTAGGTGTGCAATTGTGTGTTAAATAGTGGTAGTTAGCTTGGATTGCTCAACTAACGAAGCAGGCAGCATTAAAGCTGCCACATATGGACTGCTCCAGGGCACTGGCACTACAAGGAAGTCTGAAACACTCTGATTTCACTGGGAAGAGAAGCACCCCTTTTCCTTCTCTGGCATTTCCTCAGTGGGACAGACCCCCTCACCCAGCTCCCAGCCCAGCAGTAATCCTGCAATTTGCTCTGGAGTTTCTAAATCTGGCTCCTTGCCCAGGGTGTCCTGCCCAGGTGTCCCTGTAGGCTCAGACAGGTGGCAGAAGCTGCTGATGACCTCTAATGTGTACCCAAGATTTGCTTAATTAAGAAGAGGCTCTCTAATAGCATTCACTACCATCTCCTGATGGCTCTGGGACCACTCAGGCTGTGGCAGCAAAAACAGCCAGGGTTTGCTGTAGTGTGTGACATCCTAAAGAGTGCAGTGGCAAATACATAATTTTATTTTCCAGCATTAAGGGACTCAGCCTGGAACAGGCTCAGTCCAGTATTCACTGTGGACCCTGGGTAGTTGGTCTGACCCCTCCTGCATGGCTTGGAGCAGAAGCACCAGCTGGGTGGTCACTGTGGAAATGTGGATAAAATCTTATCCAGCAGTGTGAGGATTTGGTTCAAGGTCTTAAAAGTGAAATTTCTGATCAATATCACTATCAAAACATTTAGTTGTTGGCTACATTAATTAGATCCCAGCAGATGCTACTTTACCTTCTAAACTATTGTTATTTCAGGGATGTAGTAGTGCTTCATCTTGTTGCTTAATCCCCAATCCTTAACTACAGTGGTTGTAAAGAAAGAACAGAATTGTTCTTGGCATTCAGACTGCAATGGTGACCACAGAATTAGGGAAGGGGCTGGGGGAGATTCCCCTCCTTCCTCCCTTCTTTTGGACTACCTTCGTGTCCAATTTGCTGTTCACAAATGCAGCCAAAAGCTTCATCAAATATTGCCACCTCTTATTTTAAGTAAGGTCCTTGTCTGCAAGTCCCAGTCCTGAGCCAGCATCTGAGCAGGGCAGCAGGAGCCCAGCAGGGAGGAGGTGACAGGAACACCAGTTTGCCCAGTTTGCCCAGTTTGCCTGGCCAGCTGCACATCCAGGGTGTGAATTTGGCCTGGGGCTGGGTCATGAACCCTGTGGTGGGGGCTCTGGGCTGACTCCAGGTGGAATGCCCAGTCCCTTGGCACCCACCAGCCTGTCTGCACTCAGATGGATTTTGGCTCCTGTCCATGTCAGTCTTCCCCTGCAGCCACCTCCGTGGTATTTAAGTATTCTCCTGGTTCACCACTATGCAAATATTGAAATTAGCCTTTGTATGATTATGGAGACAGTGACATTAGAGACTTTCTCAGATCATGTGCCTTCTCTGCTGACAGCATCAGCCATCAGGTTTATTTTTCAGTGAGGTAAGAGTGGCCCCCGGTGTATGAAAACTTTACAATTAAGTCTTTGGTATCTGGAATATTTTTTTTTTCCTTAAGCTTTTATCTGAATGCATTAAAAACACAACATGTTGTGCTGTGAAAGAATGAAGAATGCAAAATGCAGCCTTCATAGGAATGGCCCAATTCTCAGAGTCCAAGACTTTTAACTGAGCCTCACTAAAACCAGAACAATTTAAGAGGGGCTACAAGGGGAGCCATAGCCCCACTAGCAGGTCTAATATGGCCTGAGACCCTGAGAGAAGGCAACAGATCTCATACCCTGAAGTGAAACAAAGATCCCTTGGGCAGGGATCTAACTGGTCTGGCCAGATGGCCTCAGGACAGTAATTTCTCCGCAGGAAGAGATATCTTTATTATATCAGTTACATTTCCACAAAATGCTGCATTTACATCTCATACTTGTGCCTCATTCACACACCTTCCCCGAGAGCCTCACCTTACAGAGAACTGCAGAACAATCTGAAACCTGTAATGAGTGTGTATGTGCTGAAACAATAGCCATTTTGTCCCTAGAAAATACTGCCATAAGAACATTGGACACAGCTATTACCTTTTCTTAAACAACTGATGATTTCTTGCCCGTGGCACGAATCCTTTGCAGCGTGGAGCAGAGCTAAGCCTGATTAGCCAGCCTCATCTTTTGCCAGTGGGGCTAATGGGATTTATTCTCCATTCTAACACACTGGTCTCTCATCCCCATTATTTTACATCTCACCTCGAGTTAACAAATGCTCCATCTTCAGAGCTCACGGGGCATGGCCACAGGGCATCTGCCACGCTGGATATTGTGTGCTCTGCCACGCTGGATGGGCAGTGACAAAAATTATCCCTCTTCCCCCAGGTCCTTCCATCGTCCCACTGCAGCGAGCAGAGCCAACACTGGGCAACCCTCTAAAATGTTTATTTGGACCAGTGGCCGGGGATCCACATCTTACAGACACGATGAGAAAAGGTAAACGGCGCCCGTGCCGACTGTCTCTGGTGGGTTTGAATATTTCTGGGTGTGGCCCGTGGCTTCTCCCCAGTGGTGGCACTGGACAGGTAGGAGGGATGCAAAGGGTGTCCTCCCTGTGCCTCAAAACCCGGCTGCTGCTCCCCCAGGCACAGGAGCAGCCCAGGAGTGCCAGGGATACTGTGCCAGAGCCATGGCCAAAGTCTCCCTTGCTCTCAGGGCATCAGCAGCACACTGTGACCATCTCTGGTTTAGGTTTAAAATCGCACTAATCCCCAGCCACAGGTATGCAGCCCCACGCCCTGTGAAGCCTTCACCTTCTTGCAGGTGTCCTGCCTGCAGCCATCAGCCACGCTGTCCCCTAGGCAGATCACTGCCCCACACAGCTGTTACACATCTGGGGGATGCATCCGGCTGCCAGAGGTGTTTTCTGCTTGTACAGGGCCACGCGTGAGGATGAGCATGTGTGCAATGCTTTGCACAGTAGCTGGGGGTTGTTCAGCTGCTGAAAGTGAGCTGGCGGCTCACCAGCCCACTTGAGTGGTGCTGCTGGAGGGAACAGGCTGAAGGAGACAGGAATAAATGAGTTACTGGATCTCCCAGGGGAGCAGGGAAATGTGCCAAAGAGAAGGAAAGGGAAGGAGAGGTTTGAAGTCCACAGACAAAGGCAGTGCTCAGTTGGGAATAAAAGAAGTTAAATATCAATGATGAAAGAATAATTGCCAGTAATGCTCAGACTCATCCTTCCAAAATCCCTCTCTTTTGTAGTAAGATTTGCTGGACAGCTTGTCTTGTCACAACAAGGACAAATTTGCCTTTCTTTTCTTTCCTTTGCCCCTTCCCACCTCTCCTGCAGTTCCTCTCACAGCCACTATTTAATGTAATCACAAAAAATTACACTCAAGCGAAGCAAAACCAGATATCAGTGTATGTACAGTGCCAATTACCAAAACACACTCTTCAGTAATTCTAATGAGACATTACTATTGGCATCTGCTTGGGAACGTGCACTCCTGAATTCAGGCAGCAGAGCTGCCCTGAGGACCCTGAGATTCTTTGGAGATTTGGCCGATTTGCTGAATGTTTCTGCAAAGGTTGCATAGATGCTCAGCTCTTTGGATTCTCTGATCCCAAACAGATATTTTGAAGACAAAAAATCCAGCTTTGCAGCATGAACTTTCATTGCAGCTGGTTGTGTAAATGCCTCCTGTGCTTCTGCCAGTCTCTTCTTCAACTGAATTTTCCCCAGGCTAATGTCCTTCTGCATTAGAACTATCATGGTCCAAGGTTAGGCACTCGGAGGAGATATCTGCCCACACTTTGGGCTGGCTGGAAGCTCCTGATTAGCACAGCCTATGACTTTCACCATGGCTTGAAGCCAGGCTTATTAACTTGGGCTGAGGACTCACCAGAGTCTGGTCAGTATAAATCCAGGCAGAGCTCATCCCTGCCTGCCTGCAGGAACAGGGAATAGGGAGCAGCATCCCTATGCCTTCACACCAGCCATGGTAAATTCAGATATCTTCACAAGCCTTTGGGTGGGTTTATTTCCCAAGAGGTTCTTAGAGCTGCACAGAAGGATTTCTTAGTATCTTGTGAGTGATTAATAAAATGCAGGAGGGAAAGGGAGGAAAAGAAGATGGAAATAAGAGAGTGTTGATGGCAGCCTGAGGACTGCAGAGGAGATGTGTGAACACAGACCAAGTGCTGTTAGTGGGAGAAATTCATCCTCCAGTGTCTGGCAGTGATTTTAACACATGTAAGGTCACCAGAGTCATCATTATATCAAACAAGTGGTGCCTTTTAGAGAAATGATTCACCTTAAATGACCCTTTCCCAGGAATTTTGTTCTTTAAACTTCAGGCAGGAAGATTGTCATATGGATCAGCAAACTTGTCACCAACATATGCTACAACCACAGACTTTTGAGGGGTTGCACTATAATATTAACTGGGCTGCAGTAAGCCACTTGCTCTAAAGGAATCACCTCCTCCTGGCTGGAAGGTATCTCTCAGGCACCTTTTTTTGCAGGATCAGCACCAGAATATCTGTATTTCCTTGCTGTTTTAGCCATTGACAATTCCCCAGCTGCCACTTTTTATGCTAGTCGAGCCCTCATTCTTTCTCAGCTGTCAAAGAGGCTCTCCACACCATTGCAACCATTGTAAAATAAAGCACTGGTTTGATTTGGTTTGGTTCAGTTTTGTCCAGCCTGATGAGGAAGAGGGGGTTAACTGAGTGAAGAAATCTGTTACTATCTATAGGAATCTGCCTACAACCATCACTGAGTATATTTTGAGGGCTCCAGAGAGATTTCCTTTTGCCATAGGTCTACTAGCAAAAACTGGTGCAGCCAAATATACCTGTAAAGAAAAATGTAGAGAAGGTGACTTCTGAGCAGAAAAATCCCTGAATGTAGAGAATTCTGCAGATAAGATCCAGGAGTAGTTTCTAACCATTACATTCAAGGATTTCTGATACCAGTAAACACCTCACCATGGGGTGATTTGAGTGACATCTGCATAACAGCTGTGATATCAGAGAAGTGAATGTGAATTCAAAGTCATTGTGAATTATTCAGGCAGGCAGGCATCCCTGTCTGACAAGCCCTACAACTGCGTGGTGCCAGAGGAGGTAATGTTTCCCTCGGTGTCACACCATGGTCTGTTTGCAAGGGGAGGGCTTTGAAGGTAGGTAATCTGTCTTTATTTGAAATAAATTAAGTAATTGCAGGTGCCTGGTTATTCTAGCTTTCCCATGAGGACACTTAGCACTCTTTACAGAGCTTAGTACAGCTCATTTTGGAGCAGGAGGTACAGAAGGATCTGCTGAGCACATTGCAGAGGGATCCCCACACTGCTGCTGTGCAGGGACATGGAGAGGGAAACCTCTGCTCTGTCCCCAGCAGGCACAGTCACAGCTGAGATCTCCTCTCTGGCATCTCAGCCTAGGGAGAGCAGCCACTCTTTATCCTCTGAGCAACTTGGCAGAAACGACATGGAAATTTAGCAGGGGAGAACTTCAGTTTGGAAATGATCAAGAGCACAAAGACCTTTTGTCCTTGAGGGCTTGCTTCCTATTAAATGCCTTTGCACAGGTCAGGGAGACCCTGTGTTCTGACAGCTGGGGCTCCTTTAAAAACCAAGAGCCCCCCTGGATATTACAGGGAGTTATCACAGGTAATCACAAGTGTTAAATGGAGTCACTTGATGAGCAGTGCCTGGGATGCAGCGACCTGTGCTTAAACACAGCACAGCTGACTGTGGCTGTGCAGCTCTGGGACCCAAAATCCAGCTAAGCACGGCATTATTCCAGCTGACCGGGCAGAGAGAGGCCCCTGAGCTGTGCCAAAAGTTCACAGGTACAGAACCCACCCTGCACAGCTGAACCCATGTGCAGGCACTGCTGCTGCCCTGGTGAGGGAGGTGCTGAGACTGCTGTTCGTGGCCAAATACTGGCAAAAACATATCGTGTTCCCCAAACCAGGGCTCTAAGGGACAAAAATGTGAAGTTTTGTAACAGCAGATATCCCCAGTATCACCCAAGGAGAATTGGCACCTCCCCAGTGCAGGCACATGTATGAGGAGGAGGAGGAGGAGGAGGAGGAGGAGGGAGGGTTGCTCAGCACTGTCTCCTGGGCTGCTGCCCTGGGCTGGCATGTGCCACACCCCAACAGGGTCACCAGGCTGACTCCTGGCAGGGATTCAGGGGAAAACAGCCCTCAGTGAGGTGTACCAGGCTATCACTTTGCTGTTGTTGGGGGCTTTGAATAACTAATATTTACAAAAGAGCAATGGAAGCAGTGCTCCAAGCCTGAGTTCTAAGGCAGAGCTTTCTTTAGTTTTATTTCCTGTGGTAGGTGAGCTTGGAAGACGTACCTGGCAGGTGGTTACCAGTCACCTTTGCCAGGTAGTTCATTTTCACTACACACCCTTCAGTCCATCTTTTTTTTTACCTCTGATGGCATGTTCCTTGGCTCAAGGCCACATGGGAAGCACTTGTAACCAATTTCAATTAGCTGTTTGTTTTTAAATTGTCCATTTGTACCCCTTTTATGTCCTATGACATTAGTGAGTGATTGCACTGGGCCTGTTTTATGCCTACACGTTGACATAAGTTATGCTGTGTGATGGTTTAATGTGCTGGAACTGCATGACAATCTCTGCCTTCCTGTCTGCTTCCATTTGGGAGCAATGCAAATCCTAGTGGCAGCAGTTAAATACAGTTTGATAAATAATAATAGAAAAGTAACATTAGATTATTACTCTACATTACTTCTTTGAAGGCAATTGCATCTGCCAGTTTACAATATATTTTTTCTCCTGAACAGCAGAGAAAATCTTGACAGGCTGAATTACCATTTCATTTCCAACTAGGAAAACACTGACAAGCTTTAAAGGATGGTTTTGAAGAGACATCATGGACACCTAAAGATGTAAACTACAGTTGGATAAAAAAAACCTCAAGGGTTTTTAGATATAGGAGATTATTGACTGCAGTACCATCTAAGCAAGATTTTTGCTATAAAACCCCACACCATATGTGCTTTTCCTGACTATGACTCATCATCTAAATAGAAATTCAATTCCAGTCTCAAGTAGTCTATGATTAAACATATTTTTTGCTGTTGCTTCTACTGTGTTTATGTATGATTTTACATCTGTCTCATCTCTATTTCTTTATCCTTAATAGTCAATTTAAGTTCTCTGGTTGACCTGACTCAGTGATTTATTTTTTTTCCCCACGGATGAGTGAAACTTGGTGGCTTCAGCTTAAAGGAGTGGTGGGTTTGCTAGAGCCCAAAGTGACGTTGATGTTGCTCACCTGCCATTTTGCAGACAGTAGAAGAGGAACTTCTCCCAGTGTGTCCATGTTATGGTGGTGCCAGGGCTCAGAGGTGTGCGGGTGCTTCGGGTGCTGCCTGGATGATTCAAAAGAACCATAACAGAAAACACAGGAGATTTTGACCAGCCTCAGGTCTGTAAGTACATTTTAAACCCACAAAGTTTGAGTGTGTTTGAAATGTACTCAAATATTTCCTTCTCCACCATTGTGTCCTCATGACCCATTGAATCATCAAAGGCTCGGAGATGAAAGGAGGACTTATGGTTAGAAAATGCAAAGGACTCTCTGCTGAAGGGGGAATGGTTTGTTGTATCTTCTTTTTCTTTTCTTTTTCTTTCTTTTTTTTAATCCCAGAACAAATAGCTCTGGTAGATAATTCTCCATGAGGGTTTTCACTGTAATGAGTAACTGGGCTTCCAAAATGCTGTTTTATGAATAAAGTAAATAAGCTCCCAATCAAAAAAACCCCACAGAAATCAATTGCAAAATCCCCATAGTGTTTCATGAGCTTTGAGTCACACTCAGGGCAGAAAATTGCCCAAACCCATAACCTGTAGTGAATCAAAAGAAAACATGGTCCTTTCAGATAATATTAATGATGACTTTCTTCAGGCTATTTCCTACATGTGGTAACATAAGACCTGTTACCCTATTCAGCTGCAGAAAAGACACCTCATACACCTGTACATCTTCTGGTGGCCTAAGATGGCACTGGCAGGTCAAATGCACCTCTGGGATTATTCTCCTGAGCCAAAGAGGCTGTACCAAAGAAGTATTTACTGAGCTGGCACAAGTGTCTAATGTTTGTATTTGCTGTAAGGGGTTTTTACCTTTTCAGAAATGGCTGTAATTTATTTTGGAGATGAATAAGTTTCCCCCAGGTCAGAGTGAATCCGTTGAAAAAGGACACCTGAGGACCTTTAAGCCTTTCTCTTCCATGAGATGGGTATGGAGGTGGAACTGCCCACCCTGTAGAGGCTGCATTGATGATTTAATATGAACTTCACATAAAAATGTATTATTTTCAACCTCAGAAATATTTACCAAAAAATCAGGGATCACGACCTACTGGACAAAAGGAAAACAGTCACAGCCCTAAAAGCTGGGGAAGACAGGGCCATCCTGCTGGGGCTGGCCATGATGGTGTGCTCTATCATGATGTACTTCCTGCTGGGAATCACGCTGCTGCGCTCCTACATGCAAAGGTAATTCCATGGCTCTCTGCTGGGCTCGAGGGTGGTCCCCAAAATTCCTTTTTAGGGTTCACAGATATTCGGGGTAAAATAAAAGAAGAGCTGTGCCACGACCACAGCTTAGTAACATAAAACACTTTAATAATAATGAGAGTAAATGTGGGACAAGGTCCAAAAATCCGAGTACAATAACAGAGGGGAGAAGGTCTCTTTAGGAGCTGGTGGGCAAAGAGAAGGGTGAAGGGAGGTCCAGGGTATAAATACATATATATATAAAATATATATATATACATATAATATATATATTATTTTTACATGTATATATAAAAATATATTATATATATATAATAAATAAGAGAGGGGTAGAGTTGAGGTAGGGTCCAATGGGTACAGTGGAAAGTGGAGCAGAGGTGGGGTAAGGGAAAGCAGGGTACAATGGGGTAGGTGGGTGGAACATTGCACCAACTGAGGGCCAATGGGGATACAAGGAAGGGAGAACATTCTGGATTTGGGAATGGTGATAATTGACTAGTAAATGAGGTATTAACATGGGCAATCCCATAACTTTTTGGAACATTTTTCTGGGATCATCACAACTTAGACAAATGCCTCCCAAGGTTTAGGGTTGGGATACAACCTCCTCTTTGGTGATGGTTGCCTGACCTGGAAAACCAGTCAGGCTGACTCCCACAGCTGTCCCTGCTCTCACACCCCCTGCTCCAGCTGACTCCATGTGGTTTACTCTTTTGACTCCTTTTACTAAAGTTTTTTCATTTGGTCAACATAAGCCCAACTTTGCACTTCCTTGCCCCAGTATAAATTAGGCACAGCCACAGTGAAAGCAGTTCGAGTAACGCTGGCATAAAGTGAGGGAAGAATTAGATCCCTGTTTGACAAAATCTCGATCCAAAGGCTTTAGGCTTGGTGCAGTTTAACACCAGTATAATATCCATATCAGCTGGCCTGCAGTCTGCTGAACCTTTTAAGTTTCTCAGGGGCTGTTGCTGCAAAGCCCAGACTCGGGACAAAAGAGCAAAAATTATTTTGCAGCCTTGAGAAACGGTGTGCTTCCAAATGAAGGATGGAGAATTAATTTGGGAAAGAAATCAAGCTCTTTGTAGCATGTAGTTTTCCATGTCGGTTATTACTTTCATTTTAACAAGTGAAATCCTCATGAAAGATAGTAATTTGCTGAAAGCCAAAGACCATCTTTCATCATTCCTGCACTGCACTTAATTTTTCTGAGATTTTCTCTGGCTTCCTCCTCTGCCACCGAGCAGAGACTTTGGACTGTGATTCATTAACAACATTTACAATCAGTTTTCAAGCATCAGCCCTATTTAAAATCCAGCTCAGACTGCAATAAGACTGTCAGTGATGGGGTTTTTTTCTGCCCTGATTGGTGGAGTTAAGGGAATGAAAAATGTGTAACTGGGGATCAAAATATTAGTCTGCCGTGCCCCAAACCACACTAAGGCAGGGGCACATACCTGGAGCATTTTGGGTTAAACACCACAGGCTGCTTCTTTAGGCACATGCAAGAAGTGCCTACATTTAACTGGTGTGAACATCCTCAATTATACTGGTGCACCTGCATGAGAATATTCCCTCTCGACCCTGCAGTGATGAGGAATACAGATGAGAATGAGCTGTACTGATTCACAGCATCTTATTTATGTGATAAAGTTATTTGTCCCTTTTTAAATCAAGGCAAAATTTAGATTTTGAAAACTGAGATCAAGGCCTGTTAGGTATCCAAGAGCATTTGCTATTCTAAATTGCTCTCCCAGACCTTTCAGCAATATCAGGGTCAATTGCAGAGGCTGCTAAGGTCAAAATCACTCACGTGGAAAGAGTTGATTTATATTATATGATATGTGAAAAAAAATGCCAGAAGATATCAAAGCACCTCCAAAATATCAACTATTCCATCTTCACAAGTCTGTGGTAGGTAGGTGTTACTTTATTACCCCCCTACATGAATAAAACAGCAGCAGAAAGGTGCAAGTGAGGAGAAGACAACCCAGGAGCCTTTGCTGTCACTTTTTTCCATACAGATCTCCTCAGGGGTTATTCTCCTTTACAGCTATACCCCTCCAACAAATACTGCCTGAGAGGGGGAAAAAAATTCCTTTCATTCAATTTCCCCCCAGAAAACACAGCATAATTTAATATAGATGTAAAACGGAATATGCAAGCAGAATTACTGCCAAAGTAAAACAGCAATAGAATTAGTCAGAAATCTTTGATATCACTTACTATGTAAAGCCTCTCATAGGTTTTTTGAGGGGCAAGCAGACCTTCATCCCCTTCATGATAGGGCAAGAGAGTCACATTGGGGGTGAGCTGATGGGCTGAGCATGATTAAAGGGGAACTGTGGGTGAAACCTTCCCCCAGCCCACAAAGGGCTTTTTTCAGAGCCCTCAGTGTGCCCTTTCCCCAAGGGAAACACAGCTGTAGATTTTTAAATACATGCCAGCAAACATTGCTAGTGCACATCCAGGCTCCATCCTTCCAGTTTTAGCCTCTGGTGAATTGGAGATGAGATTAAATCCTCCAGAAAAGTTACAACCACTGACTTAACTTACAGAAAACTGAGCAAGCTGCCACTAGGAAAAGCTTTCCCACAGGTAGAGCTGCATGAGGGTTCCTATGCCTCCATGCACATGAGAATCCATACCCTGCTAATTCAAAATTGTCCTCTCAACCTTCACTTTAAATTGACCTGGACTTTGAGTTAACCCTCAGGTCTTAGTTCAGGGTGCCTTGTCAGGCAGCACTGGCTCTCCCCAGCACAGACTGCTCAGTTTTCTTCTGTCTCTGCTGGCATCCTTTTAAATATACCTTCTCCAGGGTCAAAGTTCCAGTTCGCTTTCCATTTATACACAGACATAAGTGAATAAGGTAATTTTGTGCCTATAGGCTAAAGTTTAGGTACTACAGAATAAAACACTTGATGTGATGTGTGACATGAGACAGCCCAGGCTTTGCTGCAGCACGTAGCCTCTCCTACAAGATGCCCCCAGTATATCTCTGATGGGAATCCTGAGATGGCTTTAGTGCTTATTTGCCTATTCTTGCCATGCTCTAATGTCTCTTTTTTTTCCTGCTCAGTGTCTGGACAGAAGAGACTCAGTGCTCACTACTCAATGCATCCATCACAGAAACCTTTAACTGCTCATTTAACTGCGGTCCAGAGTGCTGGAAAATCTCTCAGTACCCCTGCCTGCAGGTGTATGTTAATCTCACCTCTTCTGGCCAGAAGCTTCTACTCTACCACACCGAGGAAACAATGAAAATTAATTCTGAGGTAGGAGCACAGAATAAAATTTGTTCCTAAATGGGTTTCTGGAGGGCTTCTCATATCATTACATCTATTCCTCATTTTAAAGCAATATAGTGCTTCCAGCTCCTGCTCCACTGATAAATAGAGAGCAGAGAAAGCAGAGATCAGTGCACAAACACAGCTCACACGCCTGGAGAGGGGGCAACTTTCTGCCTCCATCCATTCCTCATGGGGTGCTGTGCCCAAGGGAGCCTCCCTCATCCTTTCCAAGAGCCCTACAGGAGCAGGGGATCACCCAGCACTTGTCACATTGATATTCTCGTGGAGATGTGGACAAGTAATTTCCTAGCTAGGAATGGCTCCCCATGACAGTGAGCACCCCTAGAAATGTGCAGGGGTCATCCAGGTGGCAGTGAGAATGGAAATGGCACCATTTCTGCTGGGCCAGGCAAGGTGGCAGGGAGAGACGGGAGCCCATCTCCATCTCTGGTGACAAACTCTGTGCCTGAGAGCTCCACTGAGGGCAGCTGTGCTGCTGGGCTCCAGTCACTGCATTTACCCTGCAAAGATCCTGGAAGTGTGCTGAGTGGGGAGTGCTGCAAGATAAAAGCAGCAGCATAAATATAAAAGGCCTGGCTTTGGGGGGTGAATAAGATAAGGAGTTGCCCCATCCTGGCAGCACAACTTCCCTGATTCCAGACACTGAACTGATGGAATTTGATCAAGTCTGAAGAATTCCCCTCTCTGCTTCTGCAAGTACAAAGTGCAGGGTAACTCCAGCCAGGGGGGATGGAGAGAGCTCCTGTGTGCTGAGGAGGTGGTGAGGAGGCAGCAGAGGCACAGAAGGGGGTCCCCAGCAGTGGCAGCACAGCTCTGTGTGTGTGCCTGGCACCGGGCTGTGCCTCACTCCTGCCTTCTCAGGTGGCTCTGCGCCCCTTCCACAGAGAAAAGCGAGATGGGAACAGGGAAATGTCCCTCTCCCCACCTTCCTTTCTTCAAAATTGGAGTGAGCTAGGATACAGTGCAATCATTAGACTTACAGGTGCCAGGTTTTCTTTAACTACTTGGTTATCCAAGGTCACTGAACCCCAAACTTGGCAAAGCACACCCCGGATCAGGCTGCTGACAACATAACCTATTGTGTTTCTATTTATGGCAGCCGTTCAGTAGAACAAATCACTTCTGCATATTAAGATGAAGTGATATTAAAATTAGTCAAAGCATGGCATGGTTGCACTAGGCTGTTTATTCTGCTGCATAATTAACTCTCATGGTTGAGAGATGGAGTCCTCTGGATTTGAAGTGTGAAATGGAGAAGAGTTCCCCCTTTTTCCCCTCTGCTCTGGCATCAGTGCAGGAAGAGGCATTCATTGTCTGTGAAGCCTGAGGCAGGACAGACCTTACTTCCTGCTGGGGCACAAGCAAAATCATGATGTTCACACCTCAGTTTGATTAAAAGAGATCAGATAAATCTCTGTGCTCCACTGATTCAAATAAATCGAGACATTCAGCAAAAATCTCCACATTCTGTTATTGATCATTTTTGTTGGCTGAAATGGACTTTGAAATTCTCCCAGATGCCACCTCCTCTTAATTTAGTGTAGGCACAGTTAATACTTCTGCAGCCCAAGGTTGTTTTACAGGTTAAGCTCTGCTCTCAGGAGGATTCCTAGGTTTTCCTGACATGCTGCTGGCTATGTGACCTGAATACAAAAGCAGTCTGGAGTAGAAGTTTGCAATATCTGTAAATTACTTGTCTTCTTGCTCATGGCTCAGATCAGCAGAGTTTCCAAGCTCAAATCAGCACAACCAGTCTCAGCATTCCAGATGTGCTTTCCCTCTTCCCTGGCCAGAGAGCATCCCCATGCAGCAGGAAAGCAGTCCTGAGCAGTGCTGGGTGGTGATGCTCCAGCTGGGTGCTAAGCTGTTTCTCTCCATCCACTTAGAGCTGTCTTTAGTTCCCTGTCTTTACCCTTGCCAAATAAACAAACAAACAAAAAAAAGAACAAAACAAAATAAACAAACAAACAAACAAACAAAAAATAAAATAAAACAAGCACCAAAACTGTGCCTGGCTCACTGAGCTCTGACATTACTGGGGACACCACAGAGCACAGCCCTGACACTCCAAGGCTAACACCAGCTCACCAAAAGGTGAGCACCCCTGGAGCAAGCTCTCTGCTTTGCTGAGCACCCACACACAGAGACAGAGCAGCATCTGGAGCCTGTCTCTCTCTCTTCTCCCCACCAGCCAACACGGACAGAGCAAAATTCACTTTGATTTTAAATAACGGTTTATCAAGGAGAATTGCTGTCTAACCTGGCTGTCAGCTCAGAAGGTGGAATAAGGAGTAGGTACAATTTAAACTGAGATCTACAGCATGCTGCTGCCAGTCTCTGGTGGGAATCAGTGGGAAGTCAGTGGATATCTGTCAAGCTGCTCAAGTCTAGCCAAGAAAAGCACATAAGATTTTTTTCTGGTTTTTCATTGCTCTCCCTGTGCCTACTTTATCACTAGCCTTTAGGACCAGCCCAGCCCCTTGTCAATACTACAGACTAAATAGTTTAAATGCTTCCATGGCTGCACTTTCCTTCCTCAGCTGCAAAGGCTCTAACAGCCTCTGCAAGAGGTAAATCAGTCACAGAGCCAGGCTGTCAGCATGAAGAAGGGCTGTGGTAGTTAAAGCAATTAGAGAGGCCCCATTCTGATCTCATATTATGTAATTTTTGACTCTTTTCATGTCATTGGAGCTACTGCTGATTTCTATCGGTTCTCCATTACTAGATAACAAGAAGGATTTAATCACCAAAATCAGCTGTAACTGCCTGAGACTCAGAAATTATGTGGACTCTCAGGTATTTATAAGACAGGAAGGAGTTTGCCTGGTGCAAGGAGGGGAAGCAGAGGTGTTCAGCTGTGCATTCCAGTAGACCCATTTTAAGGCTGCAACCAGAGAATTCCTTCTGAGGAATCAATTCAGGCCTACTCAGACACAGAACTCCAACTTCAACCCTTCTCCAAACTTGTTTCACTTTCCAAAAGAGGTGTAAATTAGCATCCTGACACTTTCTCACAAAGATTGCCACAGTACATCCTGCCTAAGTTTCCAGGCTCAGCTTGGACACCAATCCCAGCCACAGACAAATGATGAGAGTTGTGTATTTCACTGCCCAGCCTCAACTGGGGGCTTTTCTGGCAGTAGTATTTTAAGTGTATCTTCATTGATTGAAGGGAAACTGCCTCCAGTTCGCCTGGAGAAGTTGTGTGATCTCCACCCTTGGAGATATTCATAACTTGACTGGACAAGTCCCTGAGCAGCTCTGCACTGAGCAGGGCACTGGACTGGATGTGTCCAGAGGTAGGTCAGACAGGATACCTACCCATTCCTTTATATTAGGAAAATAAAGATGAAAACATTTATGACAACTTCTATTTGTAAGTGTCTGGTAGAGCCTTCTTGTGCTCAGATTGCAAGGGACACAAGAACCACCTTTCTCATGCTGTATGACAGAAAATTCACATGGGGTAGAGCACCAGACTTTGTTTTCTTGCAGATTTCCAAGTGTTTGACAATGCAGAAGTGCCAAAAACCAGCATAGATTTAATCATCTACATCCGCAGGTATAGCATAACAGTTGTGGATATAAAATTCCTTATCAGGCACTGGAGAAAACTATTGGAAATTTAAACTATGGAAAACAAAACATCAATACATCCCGTTAATGAGTCTTCCTACTTGTTTGCCAAACACCTATGAAACGCAGCCCTGTGCTATCTCTGGGATCTCACTGGGAAAGCTGAGATGTTCAAGGAGGCCAGGAGCACCCCAAAACCAAAATTTAATGTCCTTGTGTTGAGAACCTTCTTAAAGCTATGACCAAGATGTTTCCAGGATCCCAGGAGAACCAGAGTGAGGCAGAGAGCACACAGAGTAAAGGGCACACACACCTGGGACATCACAGCCTGGAGAGAGAGCACAAAGAGTCTGGATGAGAGGCAAAATAAATCAACTTCCCTTGCACAGCTGCACTTCACAGTTTCATTCTCCCAGGCCCTCCATCATGGGCAGCCCAACACAGCTGGTGGCTCTGTGCCAGCAGTGTAGGAAGGAACAGCTCAAGTTCTGCTTCAGGTCCCCTCTGAAAACACTTGGACTCTTCTTGGACTCACTGCACTCAGGATATTTCTGTAAACTTAAAACCCAAGAATCATTCATCCTTTTGGCTTCTACATACTCTCTGTTTTCTGTCAATGGGAAGTTGTATTTTGCAAAAGTGGCCAAGTTCTCATTCAATCATCTCATTCAGGATGCTTCATAGGAATTCGAGAAACAGAAATGTATAGCAAAAAAATTACAAGAAAAGACGCCCAAATTTCCCCCCAAAAAACACAACACAAACTGATTTGAACTGGAAATATTGCTCTTATGGCAGTGATAACAGATAATTTATTAAGGGAAAATGAGGAATGCTTCACTGAGAGATTTCCCCTACTTAGGAGATTATGATCTATTAAAGACTCATGGGCACTGGAAGAGGGCTCATGACTTTGGACATTTAAGACAAATTTGGTCAGACTACAAGAGAATATCCTATAGGGAGCAGACATGCTCCAGCAGCAAGATGGATGAGATATTAATGCTCTGATATTTTTCATCTGTAATTTCTAGAGCTCTATGAAATATTCATAATGGCAGTGTGGCCACGCTCCACCATTAATGCTCCAGTCTGCTAACGACAGACAATCTCTCTGCCATGCTTCAAATCATATTCTGTGTTAATAACTTGCCAATGAATCAATCAAATCCTGTTATGAGGTTAATCCTTTGATCATAATTAGGACTAGAGATTTGTTGCAGTGTGTTAAAAAAAGAAGTTGCAGCATGTCACTGAAAAGAACAGAGGGACATTTATGAAGTATGTACATTAAAGCAGTAATAATCAAAACCCATGGGTCACATTATTTTAATCAAGACATCTTTTTTTCCTTTGCGAAACGCGCTTTCTCATTAAATTATCTAGGGCTACTTTAGGTTCTCACCAGGACCAGCAGCCTGCTGGCTCCCCCCCCAGCATGTCCAAGGAGAAGTCAAGCAGCAGATTTCCATTCCTCCTGAAGCAGTTAATCAAAAACCTGTGCAGATGTAGAAAACTTTAGGATTTGGTGGGGTATAAGTGCATAGAAGAGAGAAGGAAGTGAGAGGCCCTGGGCTGCTCCCATCAATCATCTTCCAGACCAGAAGGAGCAACAGCAAGTTCAGGGGTTTCTGCTCTAGGTCAAAAGTTGTCCAGATGTGGCTTCAATCCTTGTGTCTGCCTACCCCCTCTCTAGCCCAGGGTCAGTAGGGCCCAGGGCTACTGTCCTACCTTTTCCATGGAATATCTTCAATGCATGGGCTCCATGAGGCAGTTTTTTAAATAACTTGCCTTTAGCATTTGCTGGAAATCTAGTTTGCAACTGTGCTAGACAGAGCCACCCCTAAATCTTATTTCCTTTGGGACTAAAACTGAAATTCCAGGATCATCTTCAGAGAGAAGGAGCTGTTGGACTAATGCTGGAGTCAAAAGCAAAAGCATCACTAAGACCCACCCTGGCAACCAGGTTGATTTTCAGCTGGAGGCTGAATGAAAGTCCTCTAGGCTGTCAGTAGGAAAACCTAGACTATGTATTTGTCTCTAGCTGAGGCATTACCCCCATTAGAATATTTGTGTAAGGGTCTCTCCTCATCCCTCTCCCCTCTGAGTGAACCCCTGTGCCCACTGTGATCACTTTGATCCAAGCCAAGTGAGATCCTAAACTACCAGATTTGTATTTACAGAAAGTCAATTACCCATCTAACTGCAAGCATGTGTGTGCCACTTAAGATGAAGAGGTACTTCATCAGTTCTATTTTTGCATGTGTAAATTAGCAGTAATAATATATTCACCTATCTCACAAGGCACTGTGCAGATTAAAGCATTAATGTTTGAACACCACTTGGAGGTTCTCCAATGGGAAATTCTGTAGATGTGCAAAATATTGAGTTTTGCTGCGATAAATTTATTATTAGCGTAATAGTATTCCACTCTTGTTATGAAAAGCATAATCATCTCGAGATTTCCCCACTTGCCACCTGAAAACAGACACTGTAACAGGTTGGGAGCTGTTTTTCTCCCTCTGATTTCTCCCCAGTGTTCCTACATCCCCAAGTGCGGGAAGAATTACGAGGAATCCATGTCGCTGGTGAACGTGGTGATGGAAAACTTCAGGAAGTACCAACGCTTCTCCTGCTTCTACGACCCCGAGGGCGTTCAGAAGAACGTGATCCTCACCAAACTGTACAGCTCCAACGTGCTGTTCCACTCACTCTTCTGGCCCAGCTGCATGATGGTCGGTGGGGTGGCCATCGTGGCCATGGTAAAGCTGACTCAGTACCTCTCCCTGCTCTGCGAGAGGATCCAAAGGATCAGCAGATAGGAAAGGACACTCCTCTGAAATTCAATTACAGCGAAAATACTGTTCTTCTCATTCTTCACCAAAGAACCTTAAGTTTGTAATGTGCAAGTCTGGTATAAGTTCCTTACTATATTCTTCTAAGTAGAGCAATAATGCAAAAGCTGTTCTATATGCAAACATGATGTTATTATTATGCAGACGACTGAAGAAGTTCCTGTTTTGTGTTGACCGTCTCTATGATCTTGTTTTATGCTGGGATTAGTACTTTCTTTTCTACAGCCAAGATAGGGCTCAGTGTGACCATTGGCCAGGCTTTAGTCAATTGATGTTTTTGGTGTAAAAGATTCAGGGGAAATTCACTGCTGGACAAAGGGCAGCCAACCACTTGTGCATCATTGAGGTCTCACAGCTGGCTCAGTCCATTCGATGGATTTGTGGCTTTGGATTTTTAATATTGGCTGCAGGACTGAGAGGAAAAGCACTGATTAGGGTTTTTTTAATGGTAAGATGGCACAAAAAGGATGCATTTTGAGGTCGGGATAAGCATACAGTATTTTCAGCCTCAGTAGGACTTGGTGATGCTTTGTGTTTGCACCCTTGGCTCAGAAGTCAATTGTACCCTATGGTGTTTATAAGGTCTTTTGGAAAACACTTTGGAGTTTTATTTTGTGTAGTGCTGTCATTTTCTTCTGTCTTATCAACATAATTTTTGTCACTTGCAGAAGCTGTAGCCAAAAAGCAAAAAACACCTTGTTCCATTTTGTATTCTAGTTTGAGCCCTATTGATGGAGGTGGGACCAGAACTCCTTATGTAAAGGTTTATTATTCATTTGTCTTGTATTTGCTACCATATCACTGTAAAGAAAAAAGTAACACTATCAGCTATTTTTTCATTTTTTACTTCCAACTATTTTAGATTTTTTTACTTGATATATATACAGATATATATATATATATATATAAAGAAAAAGCTATATTATATCTAGTTGTGTATTGAAACTTGTTTAGGGGGGTTTTTTTCTTTGTTTTTACCCACTGGAAAATGAACAGTACAACTCATGTATTTATAACCTTCAGCCTTGGATAATATCATAGCATGGAGAAGCAGCACTGCAGGATCTTATCCAATATTCATGATGTTGTTTCAGTCAAAGGTCTCTGTTGCTATGACATGGGAAATGACAAAAATCTCATCCAATTCTACAGCTCTATTATCTGAATTGTTAGATAATCATCATAACACATTTGGAAATCTCTCCTGACCTAAACTCACTACGCAGTGCTGGCTGACATGAATTATGATTTACAAGACCCAGGTACAATGATTTATTGGAAAAACTGAGAATCTGGCTAAATTGTTGTCCTATCTGTCAGATATTTGCCACAGTATACTTGCCAGTTTAATTTCATACATACTGTAGTCACAATTTCTTCATAATTTATTTTTATTCCCCTATAGAAAACATTCCTTCTTATGTTTTAAAGACACCTCTCTCAGTTCCTCATATTGCACCCAGTCCTGAAGAACAAATATAAAGCACATTCTGGAAGCAATTCTGTAAACTCATTATCCAATAGCTCAAAGAAACCATATAGAGGCCTACTCAAATGAAGAAAATAACATTTTTCCCTTCAAAAAGACTGCAAATGAAGTATTCTGCCTATTTCATCTATATATATAAGTACCTTTCCTCAACATAGCATTAAAAATTTCAAGATGTTACAAAACAAGTCATGCAAGTGTAATGTGAGCTGTAAAAAAAAAAGAAAAAAAAAAAAAAGAAAAAAAAAGGAGTTCTCAGCAGTGAAAATAAACCTGCAATCTTGTAATCAGTAGTATAATTTTCCTTAGGTAATTAAACTCCTGGAGGGTGGGGGGATAATGAAGGTTCCAAAAATATGTAATAAAAATATTCAATTAAATCTTCCAGATTTCAGTATCTTCTGCCTTCAGATCTGGCTTGTTTCATCAAACTGCTTTCTGCAGCTTCCATTGCCAAGGCGAGAGGAGTGCTGGTGCACCAGGGAATTCATAAATGTTCCTAGGCAAACACTCACTTTTGATCAATATGTTGGAATTGCAGAAGCGGCGCTGGGAGGTTTGGGAACCTCAGCATCAGTGGGGCTGTGCTGCCAACCACGATTCCCAAATCAGGAATTCTGCACAGAGCTCTGGTGAGGTGGCTTTTCCACACCATCACCACCACTTGTGCTGGCCATTTGCACGATGATTTAGGTGCCTCGGGACGTTGTTGGTGCCTGTGTTTGTGTATTTTTGCTCGGTGACAGGGAAGCTGATTGCTCCTGACATTTACACATCAAACGCTGCTTTCAACATATCGTGCCATAAAACATTGCACCAGAGCTCCTGTGGGTGAAACATCTTGCTGCTGTTGTAGGCTATAATCATTTTGTTGACGTTAAGGGAGAGATCTGTGGGATAGCAAAACAACTTGAGTAATTGGATGGAGTGAGGTAAAACAATAATTTTGAAGGGAATTATCCATCTGATCCCTGGCACTGTTAACCCCCTACTGAAGTGTTAGCACTGCAAATGGGATTTTTGACAACTCCTGGTGCCCCAAAGAGAGGTGGTGTTTCAGCAGGGATGTTAGTCTGCCCTATTTCTTTCTCTATTTTAATATCATGTTTTCCCTTGCAAAAGGCATCGATAGGCATCCTATAGGCAGCTCAAATGAATGATAAAAAACATGTAATGCAATTCAGCATCCAGGCAAACCTACCCTGTTTCTAACACTGGTTCTGACTCTTCCCAGCACAAACATTTCTACTCTCTATGTCCCATCTGGGCATTTGGGACAGCAGGGAAAGGCCTGTCCTGGAAAACCCTGGAAGGGAGAGGTGCAAGATTGTGCAGCATTTCCAGGCATCAGAAGCCTATGACAAGCAACTTTGTGTGATTTAAAATGATTTAAAGCATTCATAAGGATTTCAGACACCAAATTCCCAAGGCCTTTTAGTAGTTGTTATTTTCTTAATTAGATTGTATATGTCAAGTCTTATTCCTATTCTGGAACATCTAAATCTGAAGCTGAAGTGTGAACATCCTTGCTGTAATACTTTGAAATTTGGCACCTTGCAGCAGATTTACTAAATGTCAGCAGCTAGGACAACAGAGGGTTTATTTTGATTTAGTTTTCTTCATTGAGGAGATGTCAATTTTTCGCACAAAATGTACCCAGTTAGAAGAATACCTATCTCCAGGGTGAGCCTGGGTGAATGCAGCAAGGAGAGAGGGTTCAGGAAACACAAGACGAGGAGGAGGAGACATCTCAAGGAGACACAAATGCAGGGATTTCCTACCTGAAGGACAAAGAGGGAATAAAGTCTCACCTTGTAACTTTGTTTTTCTTCTATTTTTTTAGAGGATAGGAGTGAACTTGGGTAATTAATTTTTTAATTCTGTTTTAAAAATTGGGTTGGGGTGAGGGTTAGGGGTTGGGTTAGGGTTCATGTCAGTTCAATGGAAGGAGTTGCTGAGAAAGAACTGGCCGGTGTTAATCCTTTCCATGAGGATTCCTGCTCTCATTTGACTGTCAGCCTTTGACCTTACAGCAGTACAAACTCTGTCATGAGTGGCATTGTCTGTTCAATACCACCTTTATACTTTTTCAGCTAATTTCCATTCTCATACAGTCATGCCAGTATTAAATTAGCTCCGAGTATTCAAGGGTGTTATCCAGTGTCTTTGCAGCAACACAATTTTTCCATGGACTTTGAGCATCTTCTCTCCATTAGCCACTGTACTGTTCATCATCCATCAGAGGTTTGGGAGAATCCCTCACTTTTCTGCTCCACTGAGCACTTGTCACTTTCCAACACTCAGTTTTGCAAAGGAAAACCATGCACAGCTTTTGAAGTTCCCAAACATCTCACAACTGAATACAAACTTTGCCAAATTGTTTTTGTTGTGCAGGATAGAGTGAAAAGCAGGAGTAAACTTCAATTATTTTGTTTCAGTGTTTTGAAAACAAAATGTTCCCATTTTTCAGTTTGAACTGAAGAAGCATTTTAAAATCAAGGGATGAGGGAAACATTTTATATAGGAAATTTTGAAAAATAATAGAAACATAAAAGCTCCTCTGATGTGAAAAAAAATCAACAATTGATCAGTTCACTGAATATTCTGAGGTGGGGGGTTTTTTGTGAGGTAGATCAGAAAGGTTCTTTCATTTTTATCTCCCATAGTGAAGTGCAGGATCCATCACAAGGATGTAACCAGCAGCAGCCCCAGCTGGGTCCAGCCAGGCTCATGTGGGTGATGGTCAGCTCAGGGATCACCAGGATGGGTAAAGCAAAGCCCAGCACTTCCAAGAGTGTGGACTGAGCTGTTTCTGTGGACATACTCTGTTTTTAAAGTTAAACCAAGCTACCTTGATTTTTATGTTTTTTAACACAACGTTCAGGCCATGGGATTCAATTTTTTTGAGCTGTTGTAAATTAGGAAGGACTCTGCACACAGAGGCCCTGGGTGAGAGGATTCCATGTCCTGTTAGCCCCAGGAGTGTGGCCAGCACAGCATTTGGCCCATTATGAGTTGGCTTTCCCAAGCTCTGTCTTCTCCTATGTTTGATAAATCCTAGGAGGGGTTGATGCTGCCTTTGGCCACCTGCTGCTCCCCCAACAAGCCAATTCTTGTCCCTGATCTGCAGCTTCTAGATACAAAACAAACTCCATTGGACACAAAGGGCTTCTTCTTCCTTCAGATATCATCTAAAAAAATTAAAAAATCAGCAATGCTGCTGGGTGAATTCACACCAAGATTTTTTAAATAAATCAAATTTCTCCAAACACTGAAAAAAAAGTGTTAATATTAGCAGAGCCCTCCATGCAGCCTGTCTACTTTTTCTAGTTCTCCATTTTCATAGAAGGAGCTGGTAGGTGAGTATTTATTTATTTTTAGTGGAAGTACATTTATTTAGGTAAGAATTTTGTGTATTTCATTGCTTAGTGATTTTATTGTAATATATATGGTAAGAGAAGCTAATTCTAAAATGCTTTGCAAGTTCTGTTGCAACATGGCCATTTCCAGGCAGAAGCTCAGCAAATGACTCATAAAACATGGGCAGAGATGGAGGA